CGTTTTCTGACCAAGAACGTGACAGATGGGCTTGTCTGGCAATGTGTTCCTCAGTTTGAGTTGTACCCGGGCGCCGGCATCGCTCTGCTCTACCTTAAAACGCCACAGGACTTCATTTTTCTCCTGCAATTGGCGAAAAGTAGCAGACTGAAACTGGATGGGAAGAAGCTGGCCATCAGTCCTGTAAACTTGTTCTGGGATATGAGGGCCATCGCAGAGGTCATACGCCACTACAACACCTGCAAATTGACATGATGTATCATTAGGACCTCTCTAACACTGTCGAAACTTTTTCCTTAGTTTTTACAGAAGCGGCCTGCCCCTCCCAAAAAAGAGATGAGGGACTCTCTCACAGCCAACCGCTTCGAAGAGAACGGTGCTCTCCTCTATTCTTTACGCTCCATGGAGAAACATGCGCCGTGGGTGCGACACGTCTACATCGTCACGAACGGGCAGATTCCCTCCTGGCTCAACCTGCAAAACCCTCGCGTTTCAATTGTCACACACAAGGTAGCAGTGCAGCCTCTCGCACTGAAACTCCCAACTTCTCGGGCAGGAAGCGTTTCTGCGATAGGATCTATTTCAGTGATTGTGCGTCTTGGAATGTCTTCTCTTGGTTGACAGGAATTACAGTCAAACCTCGGTTTTCGAACGTCTCTGGTCTCGACCAAATCGGTTTTCGACCAAAAATTTCGAGTTTTTTATGCCTCGGATTATGACCGAAATTCGGTTCTCGACCAAACCGAGCGCACTCGAATGCGCCACTCGACTTCTCTCGACTTCCTTACACGAAGAAGTGATGCCTCCGTTGTGAGCAGACGTGTTCAATAGAGTTTTTTTTAAAAAGAAAGAGCGTCTATTGTGAGCAGACGTGTTCAAAGATTTAAAAAAAGAGCGTCCATTGTGAGCAGACGTTTTCAAAGATTTTTTAAAAAAGAGCGTCCATTGTGAGCAGACGTGTTCAAAGATTTTTGAAAAAAGAGCATCCATTGTGAGCAGACGTCTTCAAAGATTTTTTAAAAAATTGGCTAAGGAGTTCGGCATGCCGAAATCAGCAGCATCCTAAAAAAGAAAGACCATCATAGAGTCAGTGATGTGGCTAAAGGATCTCGTGTGTTTAGTGAACAAAGGCCACAAATATTAGAGGAAGTGGAGAAACGTTTGCTTATTTTCATAAATGAGAAACAGCTAGCAGGGCACAGTCTTAGCCAAGATACGATTTGTGGCAAAACAAGACAATTGTATGGAGATTTAATGAAAAAAGGATCTTAGCATTGCTCCTGAAGAGTTTGATTTTAAAGCAAACAGAGGATGGTTCGAAAAGTTGAGGAAAAGAAGTGATTCGTCATGGGGAGGCAGCCATTTCAGACAAGGAAGATGCCGAAAAGTTTAAAGTTGAGTTTAAAAATCTCATCAACGCCGAGGAATGTCTTCCCCAGCAAACGTTTAATATGGACGAGACTGGACTTGTGTGGATAAAGCTGTTCAGAAAATGGATAAAAATGTTCCAACGAAATTCTGCAGGGTGGAGGCTCCTGCAGAATTTCGTTGTAACAAGTGTGCAATGACAATAAAGTATTCATTCAAGTTACCTCATACCGCAGTGTAGGATTGCAGACAGAGCGTCCATAGTTTCAGCCATTACCTTAGGGTTTGTAAATTCAAGGTGTAAAAGAATGCAATCTACAATTTTCATGATGAGAGAGAGAGAGAGAGAGAGAGAGAGAGAGGGAGAGAGAGAGAAAGAGAGAGACAGAGAGAGAGAGAGAGATGTTCAATTTTTATGTTACAATGTCAATGTTTATGTTAAAATTGGTAAAAATAAAACATACAAAATGTTTGTAATTTGTTGTTACCTGCTCTCTTATTACACACGTATACAGTTTATGGTGTAAAGTAGTTGAAAAAATGCTTTTAAAAAAGTTGTTTTCTAGACTTGGAACGGATTAAAAAAATTTACATTGATCCTAATGGGAAACATGGTTTCGGTTTTCGAACAATTCGGTTTTTGAACAGCCTTCTGCAACGGATTATGGTCGAAAACCGAGGTTTGACTGGAATGCAATTTGTGTGCGGGGACGCGTTCGGATCACTTCTGTCAAATGTACAGGTACTGCATCGCCTCTGATTTCTAGGAAATCTTCCTGAACATGAGCCATCTCCCCACCTTCAACTCGCGCGCTATCGAAAGCCATCTCCACCGCATCCCAGGCATCTCGCAAAAGTTCCTTTACCTCAACGACGACATGATGTTTGGCAAAGACGCATGGCTGGACGACTTCTACACCCCAACCGATGGGCAGAAAGTAGGCCAAATAGACCACCATCATCTTTGAGAATCAAACAGATACCATTCTACCCTATTTGTCAAGAGCTCGGTGAACTCCAAGTTGCGTTTGGGCACTTGACTTTGAACAGATTGGGACACACTGTCTAGTCCCAAGAAGCCAGCCTTCGCCAATGCATATTCGTGTAAGTTGCGTTTGGGCACTTGACTTTGAACAGATTGTGACACACTGTCTAGTCCCAAGAAGCCAGCCTTCGCAAATGCATATTCGTGTAGATCCTGCCTTGTACGACAGAAATGGACTCTGATTCCTCCTACTTCTTTGGAGGGCCATACCTACATTCATCTATATACCCATTATCTGATCCGCTTGTCCGCATCAGGGTCGTAAGCATGCTGGAGCCAGTCCCAGCTGTCTTCGGGCAGGTTCACCCTGAACCGCTTGCCAGCCAATCGCAGGGCACATACCGACAAACAACCATTTGCGCTCACAATTACGCCTAGGAACAATTTAGAGCAGGTGTGTCAAACTCATTTTTTGTTGCGGGCCACTTCGGAGTTACGGCTGCCCTTAGAGGGCCGGTGCAAAATCTCAACGTTATTTATTACCCATGACAATTTGACATTTCAATAAAGATTTCAGCAAGAATCATGAGAGTTGACACACACGATTTGCTCCCGCGGGCCACACAAAATGATGTGGGGGGCCGGCTCTGGCCCCCGGGCCTTGACTATGACACATCGGATTTAGAGCATTCAATCAACCTGCCGTGCATGTTTTTAGAATGTGGGAGGAAGCCAAAGTACCCAGAGAAAGCCCACGCATCCACGGGGACAACGTACAAACGCCACACAGTAAGGCCGGGGCCACTGCGGAGTTACAGCTGCCCTCAGAGGGCCGGTGCAAAATCTCAACGTTATTTATTACCCATGACAATTTGACATTTCAGTAAAGATTTCAGCAAGAATCATGATAGTTGACACACACGATTTGCTCCCGCGGGCCACAATCATTTTTTTAGAATGTGGGAGGAAGCCAAAGTACCCAGAGAAAACCCACGCATCCACGGGGACAACGTACAAACGCCACACAGTAAGGCCAGAGCCTGATTCGAACCCTCGGCCTCTGTGCTGCAAAGTGGACATGCTTATCAGTTGACCACGATACCGACCAGGGCTGTCCCTTTCAAATATGATTCACTTACTCCATTGAATTACTTGAATAGTCCGAAAAAACTTTCATTTGCTATCAAGTGTCTGACAAAATCATTTCCCCCATCCCTGCGAATTCACCCAGTCTGGTCGTTTATTAGCTTTTGTTTCGTGATAAAAGGAACACGAACTCAACCACAATTGAGCAACGTTATATCAAAGGCATTGATGTCGCCCTCACTCAACCTTTTGGTGATCATTCGGTTCCTTTTCAATTCATTTAAAAATCGATTTGTTTCTGATGAACTGATTAATTTTGCTCCCTCGATTTGTGTGTGATAACACACAAATGCAACTGTTCTCTTACATCCCCGAGGTTTATCTCGAGTGGGCTTTAGCGGCTTGTTCAAAAGGCTGTCCAGCACACAGGATCAATAACGGGCAGTGTAATCGGGAGTGCAACAATGCCGCCTGCCAATGGGACGGAGGAGACTGCAAAGGTGGCGTTCAACAACAGTTGTGGTGCGCAACTTGATTCTTCTGCCTTGAAATAAATTGTACATCTTTTTGGACTTTTGAAGTCAGAAACCGCAGGTCCATAAGCAGCGCTGGTGATGGGGGTTTATTTCAAGCTCACAAGACTCAGTCAAACAGCCAGAAGTCAAGCCTGACACAAAAACCAGCAAACTTCTCGAATGAGAATAAGGCTCCTTTGGGGATGACGCTCCAACAGTTTGTTCCGTCTGACAAGGGGTTCCTCAAATACTTTCAAGAACTACTTGAGGTAAATTCGACACAGTCCAACTTTGTCAAGTGTAAGTGGCATACACTGGAAAAAAAAATCATTACAAAATAATGGTAAAATACTGGCAGTTTAGATCATAAATCTGCTCATGAATGAAATAATAAAGCATCAGATTTAAATGCGCATGCCCAAAGCGCCCACAATGTCAAGTCATGGAGAAAGGAATGTGGCGCCTCTCTCCACCGCTTGACAGAAAATGCTGTTCTGTGGTGTGAAATCCGTCTGTTATTCTGAGTCAAGCATTAACAGTTAATTGGCATGTGGGGATGAATACTGAACAGTATTTTACATTTTCATGACAGTGCATTTTCCTTTTCGTATAACAGGAAGATGATCGCCGACAAAGAGCACTAACGTATGAGACGAATGGTGCCATGTTTGGCCGAAAGTTGCAAAACACTTTTTCTGAGGCACTGCAACACGTTGACAGGCTGTACAACCTCAAGTTTGGCGGCATGAGCCGAAAGGCGATCTCACACGCGCCCTATATGATTGACAAGTTTGTGATGCAGGAGCTGCAGGACGCGTGAGTGCTCACAAGTTGTAATCTCAGGCCTTCTTGAGCACTGACCGCTGAGGATACCTTGCTCCTATTTCTGCAGATTCCCAGAAGAATTTCGCAAGACCTCAAGCCACCGTTGGCGTCAATCAGACGGCATGCAATATGCCTTTTCCTA